ACCCCCTTCTCCACCCCCACCCGCATCCCTACCCCACTCATACAGAAGAGTAAAAATGCCCGATTTTATCGGCAAAAAGGGGCTGGCGATCTTCCAAAGATTGACTAGATGTGAGATGCTCCCACTTGTGAGTGAGGAACAGCTGCGTCCATTTCCTGTCATTGTGGTCAAAGCAGGACAGCTCACTAGGATATCCTGATAAACAACACATCCACATGCACACACTTGTTTCTGACTTTCCAACTAATCACGAACAACAAATCCATCTTTTTTCTTTTCTCTCAATTAGCTACCAAGCAGGTTCCAGTGTATTGAGCAGAATCAAACTCTTCCTCAATATCACTCACAAATAAGTGCTCCAGTGTCTTTTCTCGTGGTCTCACCTTCTATAAAGTCAGACGGCGAGTAGACTTTGCTACTTTTGCCATCCAGCTGGCCAGGCGGTGTGTTGAGGCTATGCAGGGCGAACTCCAGCACCTCTCCCAGCTCGTCCCGCTTATCCCTCCTCACGGGTTTCTCCTCGGGGTGACGCGTCAGGCCCATCTCCAGCTGGTAGACTTTGTGCAGGGTGAAGCTCTCAAAGGGCACCACCGCGTACTCGCTAGGTAGCCTGACCCCGCCCGTCACCTCGGCTTTGGAGAGCTGACTCCTCAGGAAGTCCTGGAGGTCCGTCTGCTGGCTTTTGGCTCCGGGGGCATCCCCGAGGTCGCCCGCCTGCGATCCGTGCCCCTCTGGCGGGCCCCCAGCGGTGGCCCTCTTCAGGCTGTCCTGCACACCTTTGAGCTGTTGGCTGCGCTCCTGCAATGCCTCTTTGAGCTGAGCTATCTGCTTCTTCAGGGAGGTGATGTGCAGCCGGTGTTGCTCTTCGCGCTCCTGCAGTAGCGCCTGGTAGGAATGGACCACCGGTGGTCCCCCGCTTTGGGCAGCTCGCCCAGTTCCAGCCATGCCTGCCGCCACCCCGGGCCTCGTACCACCCAGGCTGACCTGATTGGAACCGGCGTGCGGTAAGGCGCGACTGAGCGGCGGATTGTCCGAGTGCAGGGGACTGCAGGTCATCACGTAGAGGAGTGACACGGAGCAACACAGAAGGACGAGCACGGCGCCCATGCGGGACACCCAGGCCAGGAGTCCACGCCGCAACATGGCTCCGTCTCGCATCAAAATCAGTCGCCTCTCCCGTTCAAACTGCCGTACGGAACGATCACGTAACCTCACACACAACGATAAGCGTCCGATTAAGTTCCATGGCCGTGCCACTTATCAGTGTGAGGTCACTTCATGGCACCGCCGCTTGACATCGGCTTCGGTCTTCGGCAAAGTCAATAAATGAGGCTAGAATGTTTGTGAGAAAGCATTTTTTTCCCACTCTGTTAGTCCACTTAGCGCCATGGTCTGCTGGAAGACCGAGACGCCGTTACATCATTCATCACGCGAGGTGACTCATGTGCGCTGCCCTTTTCCTCCACTGAGATGATTCAGGGAACGTCTGGTGATCCCTGGGAATAGCGCAGCCGCCGCCGTCGTCAACGCGTGCTCTCCTGATGCTGTGAGAATGGAGAAAAAACGGTCAGAAAAGTATTTTCACTCCTGGAAGCAGCAGATCTGTGCATGTGGCGCATGCGGCGGTGACATCACCGAACACACAAAAATAACCATTTCGTATTCTCTCCCGCAGCAAAGTTGTGTCAAATGAGGAAAGCACACCAGGCACACTCTTCGACATGTTGGCTAAAAGAAAGTTTTCTAGCAACCAGACCAAAGCATTCCCCGCGAGTGCTCTGGATGGCGGAGAAAAATGTCACATGAGTGAGAGAAGTAAGTGGGTCAGTTACACAAAAGTACACTTTATCTCCGACTTTTGAGACACAATGGCTCTTTTCACAAGAATTGGGAGTATTCACCTATTTGTGCTTTTTACATTTTTTTCTAACAGGCACCATTTGAATTATTCAATATTGGATGGATGCCCGTGTAGAAAAACAATTAAGAGCCTTTTCAAGCATTTTTGATGGGCACGCCGCCACACGGAAAAGCATTTGACCTACTTTGGAATAGATCATCAAAACAGAAGAAATAACGAATACATTTAGGAAGCCAGACATTTTTTTTAACCCTTTCATGCACCCTGTAACCCGATTACATGATAAGCTGCCCACTGTCGTAACCGCTGTCCCCGAAAGGGTTAAAAATACTCATACAGAATGTATCCCTGAACCATAAACCAATGACAGCGCTTCACTTTATTTAAAAAAAAAAAGAAAAAAAAAGCCCCAAACCCAAAAAGGTAAATAATGTGGAATCATCATGTGATCACAAACCAATATAGCCATGAATTAAAGATAGAGAACCCCGTTAAGTGGGAAAACACATTTTGGGGATGTGTGTGTGTGTGTGTGTGGGGGGGGGGGGGGGGATAGACAGCTTGTTTGAGTTACTGTACATATCTTTCAATGTATCTCTGTGCATGGCACTCGGCCTCGACGGGCCCGACACAGTCGCCCCTTTGACAGTGCCGCCCTGTGAAAGGATTAGTCTATGGTGCGAGTGAATACTGGACTGTGCTCCGGCAAGGCGCCTCTCCTGTTAGACCTCCGCTGAATACTTGGGAAAATGTTTGAGGAGTGGCAGGGGGGGTGGACTTTGGGAAATGCGGCAGGAATTGTCTGCTGCTATGTATTAGCCTTTAAATTGCAAGCATTTTATTTTTAACCCTTTCATGCACCCTGTAACCTGATAACATGATAAGATGTCCACTGTCGTAACCGCTGTCCCTGAAAGCAATCATCACTTGTCTACTGAGTGTAACCAGAAATTTTTATTTTTTTGCGCCAATGGAGCAAATATGATTGAGTCGAATGAAGTCTGCCGAGCAAAAACTGTCCGTGTTTTTTATGTGTTGCGTAATATTATTTTATTATTTTATGTTGACTGTTTGTGTTATGTTTATGTTAAGAAACCTGCCTTGGGACCACGGCTGAAAAATAGCATTTATGCTAGGTCCGGCGCATTGTTGTGTTGATTAATGTGCACTGTCCCAATAAAATAAATAAAAAGCGCAATTTGTAACATTAGCGGCTCAGGCTCTACTCAGCTTGGGTTGGAGAGGTGTCACATAAAAAAATGTTACAACCCAAAGCTGGGAAAACAACGCAGGACGGCAATGTGAAAACGGTACGTTGCGCTAATGTTAGCATGTGTGTTTGTGTTGGTCATTTTTAGTCGCTCAGATGTTAAAGTGGCAGTGGTTTCACGTCACTCTTTGTGTTAAGTCCTCAAAACTGCCCCAAAAAACCAAATTAATATCTTGAGTACATTTTAAAACTGTCATTTTGATGTCATATTTTCGGCAATAATGGCGACCAAAACAGAATTACAAAGTCAACGCGTCACACACTTAGGGTTTCATTTTCTCCTAAGATGAGACGGCTGGTCCGTAAAAAATATTGATTCATGCGAAACCCGGTCCGAGTTGCAAAAAAAAGGTTGGGGACTACTGAGCAACAGGGTGCAACGCATATTTCGGTTAAACTACTACAGGGCTGCGTTTGCTAATCACATCACTTCCTATATGGCACCATGCTTTCTGGTTTTGAAGGTTCTCATAACCAAACTTGACATTTTCACTCTCAGGATCACGTCTCGGTTTGTGTACGTAAACTCACGAAAGCATCATTTTGAAAAATCCAGGCCCGGAGTCGCTCGAGCAAAGTATTGGTCACCTGGTGCACATTTCCAGGCGAAAGCCAGGCACTCCCCAGGGGGGAATGAATAAGCTGATTCAGCCCAGGTTACTTGAGAATGCATGGCTGCTACTACCACACACACATGCTCACTCAATGGGACTGAATCATTGCATTTCAATTTTATTGCTGGTGCAAAAGCGCGCCGTCGTGTCGCTGCTTGTGTTTCTCCAACGAGCCAATACAGTATTCAAGTTTTGAGTGATACTGTGCAAGAGAGGTATTCATCAAATATTGCCCTCCGTGAGATAGATTCGACTATTATTGCTCTGGCTAGCAAAATATTGTTTGCAAGTTACTCTGGAATTTTTTTTTTTTTTTTAAGGCTTTTGAACAAATAGTTGGGGTTCTGAAATGACTGCTTGAATGTGAAATGAAATAACCAAATATTTTGTCATCAACCTATTTCTGAAACTGTCCTCTGTTCTGCACTATTTTCGCAAATTTACATCATAATCACCCTGACAAAAATTGCGTCAATGGCATGATGAGCTAGTCTGTGTGAAGATTCAAAGCCACGGAGTCGCTCGAGCAAAGTATTGGTCACCTGGTGCACATTTCCAGGCGAAAGCCAGGCACTCCCCAGGGGGGAATGAATAAGCTGATTCAGCCCAGGTTACTTGAGAATGCATGGCTGCTACTACCACACACACATGCTCACTCAATGGGACTGAATCATTGCATTTCAATTTTATTGCTGGTGCAAAAGCGCGCCGTCGTGTCGCTGCTTGTGTTTCTCCAACGAGCCAATACAGTATTCAAGTTTTGAGTGATACTGTGCAAGAGAGGTATTCATCAAATATTGCCCTCCGTGAGATAGATTCGACTATTATTGCTCTGGCTAGCAAAATATTGTTTGCAAGTTACTCTGGAATTTTTTTTTTTTTTTTAAGGCTTTTGAACAAATAGTTGGGGTTCTGAAATGACTGCTTGAATGTGAAATGAAATAACCAAATATTTTGTCATCAACCTATTTCTGAAACTGTCCTCTGTTCTGCACTATTTTCGCAAATTTACATCATAATCACCCTGACAAAAATTGCGTCAATGGCATGATGAGCTAGTCTGTGTGAAGATTCAAAGCCACTTTCAAGATTGTCTCAACACACCATCATACAGAAACAGGCACATCTGCCACGGGTGCAACTATCATGTCAAAGCCACACGGTAAGCGGAGCTGCAATGTTTCGCGTTTAGTGACTTGTGTGTCACACTGTGAATGTCATTGTGGAGGAGTAAAGTCGATTCGTCGGCTAATTATGACTGTGTGAAATAAAGTTAGCATTTCCAAAAAAAAAAAATTAATTCCAACCAATACGCATGTGGAAAAATATACAAGCGAGTTTTCAATCGCTATTTGCCAACTTTTCACCTGATCCAAAATAGCGAACCATGTGATCTCAAGTGCACAGAATGTTAAACGTGTTCCAAATATAAGTGCTACTTGTCTCTCCAAACAAGCATAAATTCAACGCATCCTTGTGGGATGCTATAAAAGCCACATGTAAACACAGCGGGGACCTTGTTTACAAGCAGGCAAACTCGCCATTTTCCGTACGCTGCGAAAAAGAAAAACGCCGCATGACAGCCGTCCCTCCCGTCACATCTTTCATCCTCTGCGGGTGATAAATTGAGATGACTCGGAGCGCCTCAGACACGGCTGCAATCTCCTTCAAACCTCCCCAAATCACTCCCCCTTACTGCTGCAACTTCCTGCCTACATTGAACGTAGCTCTGTTGAAACGCGTTTTCACACACGGTGGAAAATTGCTGCATCCGAGCTTTTAAAAGTGGATCCAGTCACTATAAAAAAACTAAACAGACAACCGAAAGAATTACTCACATTTGTATATTTAAATACAAACGTATTGCGCGGGGAGAACATGCAAATTCCAAACACGAAGGCCGAGGCCGGAATCGAACCCTGCACCTCTGCACTGTGAGGCCGACATGCTAACCAGTTGTCCACCATGCCGCCACATTAACGCACATACGGGTAATATATCATTACTCACAGGAATACATTCTGAAAAATGTGTGAACAATGTCCTGATCCTGATCCTGTTCTTGTGTGTCTCCAGCAGGTGGCAGTGGAGGGCCTTTCCTCCAGCGTGCACACCTGCTGCTCATGTGCTCATCAGTAAGTATTTAAGGACTGCCGAGATCTCATGTCTTGCTGGATTTTTGACTTTGTTGCTGCTATTGCTCAAGTGTTGTTTGCTAGCCCTCTCGATCTCGTCTCCCGCTTTGTAAGTATTTGTGTTTTGTCTTTGATCTTGTCATGTTTTTGTTTTCGTGAAATTAAGACGTTAGTCATTTCGTTTGGATTCTGGGTATTAATTGCCTTGCCTTTTTGCAAGCATTTTTTTGTTAAAGTATCGTTTTCCTGGTTCTTTTGACCATCGATTTCGGTTTATACTTTGTCGGTGCATTTTTCTGTGAAATAAATATTTTTGTACAGTTTTGTTTGTGTCTACGTTGGTGGGATCCGATCGCCATTCAGTTTGTTCCCAAACTGTGTCAAATAAAGGTTAACTGCACTTTCTTTTTCTGCTCTCTTTATATTAATGCATGACTCTAATTGCCCCACAGGGATAAATAAAGTTTTCTGAATCTGAATATCTCCCTGTGTGCACTACAATGCCCCCTAGAGGCCAAGATGTACACAGCATGTATCATTTTTTAAATACTATTTTAAAATATTTACTTATTTTCAGGGTTTTTTTTCCTTTTAAGTTACTGTATATTTCAAGGTGAGGTTTGGTTGCTGGAAAAATATGAGGTGAGATGGAGAAGAAAGAATGAATGTGTGCTTGACAGTCACACCCCCACAGCAGAATTCACACGCGGCCCACAGGTTCGCCGGCATTCAACCTTTAAACATCAGACAACCTCGCGACCCCTTTTTATCCTGAGTGACACGATTAGGCCCATGTCTGCCTTCAAACATTTCCTGTCACTCTCAAGCTCCAGATAAGATAGTGAAGCTCTTAGAATGCCCCCCCCCCCCATAGCGTTGGTGAGGTGCCGTGTGACATTGGATGTGAGAGCTGTGGCCGACAGCAGCTTTTGTGCAGCGTTGCATTCACGTCTCTGTCATCCAGGTCAGGAGTACTTCATTGTTGCCCTCTTATTTATTTAGTGTTGTTTTCTTATTTTTACACTTGTATTACATTGAGGAATGTCAAATGAGCAACGGGAGACGAGTCACTTGCGCTGCGAGCGTCGTCTCCCCTCACTCCCTTGCTTCCTTGGGTTAAGTATCACGCAGACAGACCTCAGCCGGGGTGTGAGGAGAGGATGACGAGCACAAAAGGTGCTGTATTAAGTGATGAAGAGGAGGAGGAGGATGATGATGATGGAGGGAAAGATGGGAAATGGAAAAAAGAGGCGCTCTTTGATGTGATGTGCTCTGTCCCCTCAGGTGCTGCACCAGCCTCCCGCCGCCCTGCTCATTAGGGGGCCCACTTTGGCTCGGAAACTTCCTGTCAACGGGCCATCTGGATGGAAGGTTCTTAACACACACACACACACACACACACATATATATGCGCGCACGCGCACAAACTGACACAACTCGCAGAAACACGCAAAACCACGGCAAAACACGTAAAAAGACTTAAGATGTGCACACACACAAACAAAAACATACACATGCGTGTCGCGCACACAAACACACACTCATACGAGGGCTGGAACAATGAATCGAATTCAAATTGACATTGCAAGGTGGTAGAATGCAATTTTTAAAGTCCGCAGAGCAAGCGGTGGGATGCCAAAGTGTTAGGCGAGTCAAACAAGTGCACGCGACGCGGTCTTGACTGGAAGTGGGTCCACCACTTCCTGAAAGAGTTGCATTATTTCGCAGCTACATTGCACCAGATGAAATGTGAACGCCCCCCCCCCTACTGAGCGGGAAATGGGCCGTTGCACCAGCGGTAGATCTTGTAGATGGAGATAAGATGGCAGGGGGAGATTATCAATTGGTCAACAGCAATTGTAATCACAGATGACTTTTGTGTCCCTCAATGTATTTTTGACCCAGATTTTTTAGAAATTGCTTTTAAACTTAAAAAAAAAAAAATTTGATATACGTTTTCAAGGATAAAATGGGGTGGGGGGGTCGCATACATTGCACCAGATGAAATGTGAACGCCCCCCCCCTCCCTACTGAGCGGGAAATGGGCCGTTGCGCCAGCGGTAGATGTTGTAGATGGAGATAAGATGGCAGGGGGAGATTATCAATTGGTCAACAGCAATTGTAATCACAGATGACTTTTGTGTCCCTCAATGTATTTTTGACCCAGATTTTTGAAAAATTGCTTTTAAACCTAAAAAAAAAAAAATTCGATATACATTTTCAAGGATAAAATGGGGTGGGGAGGGATCGCGTTGCATGGTCTGTGTACATGCATGTGCCTTCAGAAGGCGGGGCCTAGTGGGGGCGACGGATGAGTGATGTCAGCAAGTCCCCGTGTGAGCGCTGTGGTCAACAGCAGCTTCGGCTTGAGTGTGCTTATTTTTTTCATTTAATATTTTACCGAACATGCCATCAATGAATCAAGTAGAATTGGAAAAAATTACAATAAGCAACAAAATCAAAACAAACATGTCTTATTTTTGTTCACTTGGGGTTGCCATCCTCACATTCTACACTGTAGTATCTGTGGCTTTGAATGTATGTGGCTTGAAAAGGCAAGGCACGGTATTACCGAACATGCCATCAATGAATCAAGTAGAATTGAAAACAAATTACAATAAACAACAAAATCAAAACAAACATGTATTATTTTTGTTCACTTGGGGTCACCATCCTCACATTCTACACTGTAGTATCTGTGACTTTGAATGTATGTGGCTTTAAAAGGCAAGGCACGGTCAGTGATGTGGGAGTTAATGAGCATTCAGGCTGAAATTTAGGCGGCGAAACGGCAAGATAGCTACAGTAGATACTTCATTTAGCTACCGTAGAGAACTTCATTCATCCGATGAGGTCAATTAATTTGACGCAGAAAGCACACAAATACAAAGGCAGCAATCCAACAACAGATTTTTGAATGGGGGGGGCTGGAAGCAGGTTACACTGTCATGTGATCTGTGAAACGCAAATGCCACCCGACTACAACACAAAATATGTGGTTCTCAAATAGGGCAATTTCATCATACAAGGAGCACGTATGTGTCATTGCGCATCATGTCAATTTTCGCACTTAATCAGTGGTGCCTTTCTCCTTTGTTTGCCTCTTGTTGAAAGTCAAGTGAGCCCGGAGCTGTCTCCAATCCCATAATCTCCATTTTCCGAAAATGACACCAGCTAGCTTCAAATACAGTATTGCTTGCTTGTTGGTGAGTGAATGTACTAATTAGGATTAGAACTATTTTCCTGATTAAAAAAAAAAAAAAAAAGCCTCACGGTGCTGAATGTGAGGGATAGAGACAAACAACTATGGAGAAGTCGAACAAGCACATTGGGTGCGCTTATTATTATTATTATTTTATTATATTGCCGAACATCTCTGGGTAGTGTCCCTCTTTTCGATTTTTGTTTTTATCAAAATGTCATATGAGCGAATAATAAATCATCCTGATCACACATGCCATTGAACCATTGCATAAAAAAGTTAGCATAGTTATGGTAATAAAAATCCTAAAGTTAGTCAACTAAAACAAAATAGAACACATGAGTCCTGATTATCACAAAATGTCAATGCAATGGAAGGGAAAATGTGGCTCATTCGTCCGAAGAGCTTACCCGTCGCGGTGATTGGCCCACTCCTGTCCGGATGGAGGTGATGTCTCATCGGGGTGGAACGGTCTAGTTCTGCCGAAGCCTCCGCCGGTTTTGCGTTGACACCAGGTGCCGGGAGCAGAGGGTCTGTAAACGCGCGTTGGTTGACACCGCGTAGCCTAATAAAGTCGACAAACACCGGAAACAACGTGCATGTTGCCTTCAAAGTAAAGCCGAGGAACACGGCGTGATCATGGCGTTGAAATAACAATTTCGTCCATTCTAACTGTATTCTTTTAATCCTCCCGTTATATCTAATGTTCAATAATCACTAAATAAAGAAGGGGAAAAAGGAACGTACGAAAGTTAACTTTAATAATTTTTTTGATCGAACATTTAAGACCGTGTTAGTTTCCTAGTGGTTGATTTATTGTGAAGGAGTACACAGAAGTACGGGGCTGTGTGGGGCACTTGACAGGCTCCATGCAGGTTTCTTGCCCCCACTCTCCTTCCATGCTCTCACTCAAATAAAGGCATCCTTGTTAGTACCTTCAAGACGCTGTTGGGAGTATCAGGAAACACTACTGCCTTTCATGGTAGTCAATGACTGACTGCAAACGTGTACATAAAGATCCACCTTCATCTGAATTGACGTGCACAATTTAGTCCCGGTCCGAATATTGTTGTCTTGGCCGAGATTTTGTGTTCGACTTCGTGCCAGATCATTATTGATAGGACTTTTCTAAATATTTGCATCTGGAAAGGTGAAGTGAAGATTCAGGAGAAAGTGGGATTGATTTTAAACGATATCTCAGCTACACTTATTGACAATTGGGGCCATTAAAATGGAGTAGTCCATTGCATGAGAAGGGTGGAGGGGGGTAAATTGAAATGATTATGAAGGATTAGGTGTTTTTGATCTGTTTTTAAGGGGATTGATTAAAACTAAAACAATAATTGCTTTAATCATCTCTTTATTAATCCGTTTTTTATGCGATGTCAGGGACCTAAGTCTGCCCCTCGCTCTGGGGTACAATCAGCCCAGACTAAGAACTTGAGGAAAGGAGGTGTTCAAAGGGACATACTGCCACCTGGTGATCCGTAGTAAACATTGCACTGAGTTTTTTTAACTTTTATTTGGTGTAGTCTAAACAAGTCAATGTTTCACGCCCCCCCCCCAAAAAAAACAAGGGTTAGGATACATACAAGGTTACAACAATAACGAAAATATCATAAAGTACAATCTGTAATTTTGAAAATGGGCAGCGTTGTGCTTTGCTTTCAGTTTTTTTGAATATGGTAAACGGGCACACAATAAAAGAGGTGATAGAGTCCATGTGGCGACTGTGAACTTGGACTACAGGATGCACTCTCCATAAATCGTCATTATTACAATAATCTAACTCTAAATGATGAAATTATTATTAAAAAAGGAAATAACTGGAAATTAAAACCAGGAAATTGGAAAAGCATTGCAGTCCTTCAAATGTTACCACAAACACAAGGGAGCACCACTGGAATTTTTTTTTTTTTTTTTTTTAAACTGAGAATATTCTGAACGACCATTTCTATGCTGGTGTGGTATTGAACATAGTAATGCCGCCCACGGGAGTTGTTCCTTAGTGGAGATGGAACTTGACCTCACGTGATACGACTTGACCTTAAATATGACTTTATTCTTGTAATATCGTGATTTATTTTTTTTAACTCATGACAATTTTCAAATAAACAGACATATAGTTTTTCAATTATGTTGCACTTTTTCAGAACAAATATGTTTCCTCTGAAGTTTATGAAAACATGAAAACAAGATTAGTTTAGACCGCAAACTAGCTACATGCACTCCATTTTGCAAGATGTCATTCAAACAATCATTTTTCCATTTTCTCATCCACTTATCCTCACAAGGGTCACGGGTTGACCTAGAGCCTATCACAGCTGTCTTCGTGCAAAGGTGCAGGGTTCCATTCCGGCTCCGGCCTTCCTCTGTGCCTGCATGTTTTGTTTTTGTTTTTTCCGGACACAGTTTTCCTCCCACATTCCAAAAAACATGCTCCCATGCATATTTTTTGTGGGAACACTCAAAATTGTCCCCAGGATGTGATTGTGCATGGGAATGGTTGTTTGTCTATGAGTGACCCTGCGATTGGCCTTGTGGACCCCGCCGATTGCCCCAAGTCACCTGGGATAGGCTCTACCGCGTCCCTTGTGAGGAAAAGCGTTTTGGAAAATGGATGCGTGGATGCTTTGAACAGTGCAAGAAGGGTTTCATACCCAGGCTCGGTTACAGATTTGATCAGACTGCTGAAAGTGGGAAAATGCCACTTCCACTCTTCCTCCATTTTGGGTCAGTGCTGTTTGTACAGAACGATACAGAAAAATGGCGCCTTTTTTTTTTTTTTAACGGTCAGTGTGAAAGGGGCTTCGATCAAAGTGTTGACCCACTCTAGCAGACCTGAAGTTCTTCATTTGGATAAAAAAAAAACATAAGAAGCATTTTCTTATTTTACAAAATATACAGTGTTTTTTTTGTTTTTTTTTAATAGGTCTAAAGTTTATCCCAGTGAAAAATTTTTGAGCCTCTCCAAATACTGTCATCATTCAAAGAAAGATGCTTTTCAGGCACAAGAATCACATTTTGTAACATTTAGTTGTAATTACGCGGCTTAATACTGACAACTGGTGTTCATTTTCCCTCCCTTTCTTGGCTCTCGGAAGAAATTGTGCATGGGAATGGTTGTTTGTCTATGAGTGACCCTGCGATTGGCCTTGTGGACCCCGCCGATTGCCCCAAGTCACCTGGGATAGGCTCTACCGCGTCCCTTGTGAGGAAAAGCGTTTTGGAAAATGGATGCGTGGATGCTTTGAACAGTGCAAGAAGGGTTTCATACCCAGGCTCGGTTACAGATTTGATCAGACTGCTGAAAGTGGGAAAATGCCACTTCCACTCTTCCTCCATTTTGGGTCAGTGCTGTTTGTACAGAACGATACAGAAAAATGGCGCCTTTTTTTTTTTTTTTTTTAACGGTCAGTGTGAAAGGGGCTTCGATCAAAGTGTTGACCCACTCTAGCAGACCTGAAGTTCTTCATTTGGATACTTTCTACATGAACATTTACAACAAGAAAAAAAAACATAAGAAGCATTTTCTTATTTTACAAAATATACAGTGTTTTTTTTGTTTTTTTTTAATAGGTCTAAAGTTTATCCCAGTGAAAAATTTTTGAGCCTCTCCAAATACTGTCATCATTCAAAGAAAGATGCTTTTCAGGCACAAGAATCACATTTTGTAACATTTAGTTGTAATTACGCGGCTTAATACTGACAACTGGTGTTCATTTTCCCTCCCTTTCTTGGCTCTCGGAAGAAAAGAAAAAAAATCTGTGCTTAAAACTAATCCCAACCCCATTTTAGCCATGTTTGTTTTGATCGCACCTCTCGACGTTTTCATATATCATTGGTAGACTCGTTAATTCGGCAAACAAACAAGGAAATGTGTTTTCTCTGACAAATTAGTTCCAGCGGGTGAGGTGGGATGGGCGGACGGGGTCATTTGCAGTGTATTTTGTTGATTAAAAAAAAATAAAAAATTTTGACGGCTGGCGTGCTCAAGCTTGCGCGTCCGCCTTGGGCGTCAGGCCGATGTACGTTCCGTTTTGAGGGTCTTCTTTTTCCTTTTCGCTCACCGGAGAGTAAGACGTGTTCTCCTCGGCGCTGGCCTGTAAGAAAAGTTTCGTTTTTTCAAAAGGCGACGTGACAAACAAAACGCACGGCGGCCAACAGAAAGTAACGTCGCTGCGGCTCCTCACCTTCTGCTTTCGCTCGCGTATCAGCAGGAGGATCAGGACCAGGAACATGATGCCGCCCAGAGCCACAAAGATAAGCGGGAAGTTGGAAACCACCTTGACAATCATCAGCAGCTTGTGAACTCTTGCCGCCGACGCCTCGTCGATAACCACGCTCTGTTGAGACAAACCCAAACATGCGTCAATTCATCTGTACATCCGTACTAGAAGACTTGACAGGTTTCTCACCTCATTCAGGAACATGACGGGGAAGATGGTTTCGTTTAGACCTTTAGTTTTCCTGAATGGGAGCATAAAGAATTTTGTGATTCTACACATTCAAAAAATAAATAAAAGCGGCACACACACAACACTTACGCGAATGTGGATATCCTATTGATTAGGATGTTGATCTGCGCCCTCTTATTGGCACGTACAATTATGCCGGTGGTCTGTAAAAGGAAAAGAGTCCAGTTTGCCATCCCCCAGTTATCCTGTTGCGGCGTGAAAGTAATGAAACGGCTGAACAAAAACATGACGGTACTCAAGCATGCACTGTCGCCTGTGAGCCACTAGATGGCAGAGGAGTGTAATTCCACCTCGTCTCCGCTAGAAATGTATCGTCCAACGAAAACAGTTTATTTAAAAAAATAAAAAATAAATAAAACGGAAAAGATGTCTGACGACTCGCAATCAAAAGATAGCTTAAGACCGTGAATATGAATAGTTGCACGGCCATAGAGAATAAACAAGGTCGAACTATCGTTTGGGAAATGAGTTTAAACGATATTTAGTGACATTTTTTCCCCCCACTTTACATATTCGCCATATATCAAGAAAACTAATACTAAATTTAAGTAAAGCATTTCTGAAAAAAATTTTCAAACATCCCGCTCTAAAAAAAAAAAACACAATTAAAACGAACTGAATAGACTAATAGTCCCATTGTTAATAAACGCCTGAAAGTGCATCGACGAACACGGCTCTCCTGAGGCCGTTACAGTATCTTACTTGCTCAATTTTGTTTGCGTTTTCCCCATCTTGTAACAAAACTAAAATTCGTCCAAGTGATTGCTTGTAACTTAATAAACTGGTGCCAGTTAGGGCGATCCTACGTCAGGGGGCGCCAGACTGTTTTTAGTCTTGTCCTACCGGGTTTAGGTCGAGGTAGGTTTGGTGATGAATTCTCTCAGGCGACATTCCTTCGATAGCTGCCACATATTTGGAATCTCCGAGGTAGAAATGAGGAAAAGAGGCCACGACTGGAGCACCTGGAGAAACAAGAAGGGAAATAACTCCATTTAGCAGATGTTATCAGTTTTTGTATTTTGTACTCCATGTAAGGGAAATAACTCCATTTTGCAGATATTATCAGTTTTTGTATTTTGTACTCCATGTGCACATACTTTAGCTCGCCATCAATGGCACCTGTTGTTTGAACTCAAAACACATATAGTGTCGATGCATTCATAACACACAAAGAAATTCATACGTTTAAAAGAAAAATCTGTTATACAAGAAGACTCTACCGGTGTTAAGATTCTGTCGGACTTGTGTCTCGGGACAGCGAGCTACTTGGAAGTCTCAAAAGAAACAATAGGTTGAGAAGTGCACATTGATGCTGATGTCGAACTAATTAGTGATATCCACACTTGTAATCTCGCTACTCCCACTCAGTTCCTTCCACTTATTGTCAACAAGAGACATTGCGATCCGATGACAGAGTCCACCCGGCCCGTTTCAAGCATGTAACACAACACGGAGTGAGGTTAACTTGGCTGGTCTCCACTGCTAAATTTTGAAACGTGCGCCATCACACGAAAAATGGCGTTGCACATAAGCTGCCGGCGGCGGGGCTAAGAGCTCGTGAAGTGGGGCAGGGGTGAGCATTTTCCTGCTCGGGTGTTTGGCAACAGCCCTCGGACAACCGCCAAGGTCACTGCAGTGCGCGCACACACACACACACACACACACACACACACACACACACACACACACACACACACA